CAAAGTCGGTGTCTCCCTTGCTTTAAAGTCTTCTGAGAGAGAAAGAGCAACAAGTCTTCGGTCGAAGAGTTATTTCAGCACGGAGGCTGAAGAGACCTGACGTTGTTTTGGGGGTATAGGCACCTGAACTGCAGACTGTCAGGCTCAAGAAGAGACGGGAGATAAAAGGTCTAAAAGCACAGAGCCCAAATCAGAGTCTAGGCTCTATCTAGCCCCCAAGGAGCTTAAGAGCACATGGATTCAGTGGTTACATTCAAGCATCGCAACCCAAATGACCATGTCCTGGGAAGTTCAGTCTGCATTGTACCCAGCAGCCCACAAGCTTTGCTAAGGACTCTGCCTGGGAGACTGGCCATATCCCTGGATTAGTGGACCAACAGAAAGCTACTTTGATTTCCCTGAAGTACAAATCGTTCTGAGACGTGGTCATTTCAGGTCACCGCTGCAAATGCTGTTATGAATCCACGCTAGAAATATAAATCATAAGATAAAATATTACACTAATACATAATGATATTCAAAGGAACGGAGGCTTTGGCACAACCAAGCTAGGCCTCAAACATTTAAAATAAAAAAAAAAACAGGCATCATAGAGCAGCATCTTCCAGTCTCCCGCTCCCAGCACTTAGCTGCTGGCACCGCTGTTGCTTTAATTACGGCTCCCTGAAGCCGGCTCGTGTGGAGCAGCATGATGGGGCACCAGTTTCAGCATAAATCTGGAGTGGGGGTCCCCAACTACAGTCTTTTCCAGCTGAAACTGAGACACTGCTTAACATAAAGTGCGTGTGCCTGCAGTGTGGGGGGAGCAGGAAAAAACGGGAGGTAGATCAGTGTCTCAGACCTGACTATGTGAGAGCAATCACCCCATGAATTTAGGAATGTCCCTCTGAACAGTGGAGGCTAAAAGCTCCAGCTCTAGGCAGGTATCCCAGTTGTAGCCATATTGGTTTAGACTTGAAGCAAAAGGAATCATAAATGGTAGAGGCAATATCTTTTATTAGACCAACTAGATGTTTGCAACAACAAAAAAGTACTTATTTCCAAGCTTTTTAGCAAATTTTCAAAAGCTTGCAAATAAAGAAATTTTTTTTTTGCAAACATCTAGTTGGTCTAATAAAAGATATCGCCTCTGCCATGAGTCCTGACTCGTCCCAGCTCTAGGTAGTCTGAGGTCTGCAACAGGCCCTGCTGCATCTCAGCCTACCCTGGCACTGGCAGCTACTATTTCCCTTTCTCCCTGTGGCAGGTCTCCCCTCCCTCCTCTCACACCAGCTCTTAGCCACAGGCTGACCAACCTGCACTGCAGGGAAAATCCCTCTGGAGGGATTCAGCCTCGGCTAGGGACAGAAGTACATATAAACTGATTTACGTGATCAGAAACTGGTTTAAACCTGGAACTGAACAGAAGTTCAATGCACATCAACCGAGTTCAAAATGGCCCCAAATGGTTTAAGATAAATCTGGCTGAATGCAGTATCAGACTTAACTAATTTGGGTCAAACCGGTTTATGAAATTTGTGTCTCAGACCAAGAAGAGTGATCTCTCTATGTTACGCTGCATGGCTTGACCTGGGATTTCCCCAGGCTTGACAGACTCTGGAAACCCTTCATCCATATTGGCTGAGTCTCTAAAACTTTCCAATAAAACCCTAGTGAGGATGGGGAGTATGTTCTGCCATCTGGACTGGCTCAGCTGTCCCTAGTCGCATCTGCCAGTCGGGGAGTCCCGACTAATGGGGCAGCTAAGACTACAAGCAAAAAGAGAAGACTATGCATGAATGCAGAGAGAGTAACTTGGAGATAAACTCTCAGTCCTCCTGGGCCACCGTAAAGACTGGCGGATGATAGTTAACTGGTGGACTAGGATAAATGACGCTGACAGCTGCTAACCTCCTTGAATTCAGCACAGCGAGGACTTCATTTGCGACGTGTATTGTTGTGGCTTGCCAGAATATGCACCGCAAGGACAAAAGCCGACCTCTGATAGCAGCAGGAATGCCAGGGATCTTCCAGGAGTCAGACACCCCACCAACGAGCTCGGTGGCACTGGTCTCAGCCCCCCAGGATCCTGGCATGTCAGCTGATAAGGACAACCAGTTTACTCTGCTGTTCAAAATCGCTCATGGAAACTTTTGACTGTTTAAAGCAGTGATTTGCAACCATGGGGAGGGGACACCCTGGAGTGCTGCCAGATCCCTTGAAGGGTGGTGGGAGATGTGAGGAGATAAGCAGATAAGCTAAGCAGATAAGGACAGGGCCTGGATGATTTCCCACTCCCCCTACCCAGCCCTTCTGCAAGGAGGTAGGCACTGTAATATATACATTAAGTTCTGAAATTGGGCGCCGCTCAATTCACAGAAGTTATAGAGATGCCTCGAGAGCGCCTTGAGTCCCGTGAGGGGTGCATCGAGTCCAAAAAGGCTCAGAACCACTGGTTTAAAGAATGGCCCTGTACAAGCCCCAGACTGATTGTCTTTCAGCGACAAGCAGATAACAAGAACCGTTTGCTGAAGGGATATTACTAGCAGAACAGACTTGAGTGTGTTTAACAGGGACAAACAACATTTGGAGGGAAGAGGCAGCGCTGTTCTGCAAAGATGTGCCAGAGAAATCCTCTTTCTCGCATGGGAAATGTTAATGGTGCCTGCTCCGTATTTCAGCATTGGAAGGGGTGCAGAGCATGAAGGGGGTGGCTCCCTGCCACTGTGTGCACTCCTGGGGGGCATGTCCCCCCGAGATCTGTGCCTGGGGTGGGGCAGATGTGGGCTGCCCGCTGCAAGCTTGGGGCTTCCTGCCCTGTTGCCCTCCCCCTGGCAAGGCACCCCTTGCCTACCTGGCAGAGGTTTTGCCCCCCATTGCTGCTGGGTGGGCAGGGGGCAAGCGACCCACACGGGGCTCCTGGGGAGAGGGCAGCAGGGTGGGGAGCCCTGAGCCTGCAGCGGGCAGTCTGTGTCCACTTCCGCCCTGCCCCTCTGCGCTCCGCACGGGCAGGGGGCAGGAGAGGAGAGGGGCAGGTATGCATCCCGCCTTTACCCGCTTGGGTCCATCATATATATGTGCCTTTACTGCTTGACCTGCTCACCTGCCCTTTAAAGTGAGATCATCTATCCCAAGCCCATCACTGGGGAGATGGTTACCGGTGCACAAGGAGGCTTAGGCCTGGTTCCATTAAAGAGCCAGGCCACCCTCTGGCAATTGTAAATTAGTTCAGGTTACTGAGGGCACGGACCACTGTTGACTCAGAACTGGAGCAGATCAGGACCAAAACAATTTTTTTAAGTAGACTTTGACCTTGGGCATGACTGATTCGCTATCCAAAACAATGCTGCCCGGTGACTTTAACGAGAGCCCAGCTCACTCTCTTTCAGCTGTGTTTGCTCTGCTAGTTCAAGCCAGCAGCTCTACTCAGCGCACATGAAAGCAATGGATGGGCTGAGTAAGACGTTGCTATTTTTACATGGTGCCTCTTTGCATTTTAAGGCTCCCCTGCGGCCTTTTAAGAGTCCTCCTACAATGCCCCAGCATCGCACTGTCCCCAGTCCGGCCGGAGCCTTCTCTCAGCTAGGATAAGCCAGAACAACGGGGCTCCTTGTTTATCACCCAAACAAGAACCGGTTGGACGTGTCAGGCTTTGTTTCACTGAGTGCTTTGTAGCTCCTCCGTCCTAAAGGGAAGGTTGGGACCACACATAGAACAGGTGCACGTCATCTCATGAAGCAGCATCTCATGAAGAAGATACGAGCTGTTCTTATTTGGTCTGTGTGTACGTGTCTAGACTAACGGTGCTCCACCACCCGCCTATGGACCTATGTCATCTGGGCCCTGCAGTTCCCCGTGGGTCTAGAAACTTGGTGGAGGGGAAGTAGTGCCAGTGTTAATTACTGCGGGTCTGGAAGCAGCTCTGGAAGCCATGGCAATTTGTGCTGACATCACTCCCCCACCACCAAATTTCTGGAAACGTGTGAAGCCCTCTGGGCCACATGACATGGGTTTCTCTGTAGTCGGATTCTGTACATGGGTTGGACTGGTGTGCAGGGTTGCGCCGTGGCCAGACCCAGCACGCAGGGCTGGGCTGGCATGCCGGCTTGCACCCATGAATCAACTTCATGCTGGATCCCACCCACAAACCACCCTGCAAGCAGACTGGCACTGCACTGCATGGCTCTTCTGGCCCATGGGCCTGGAAGTTTGCTCGCCACTGGTTTAGAGATCTCCTGCGTACTAAGTTACACAGCAGTAAATACGAGTAATATCTCAGAAGAGACTCCCTAGTGAACACGCATCCTCTTGAACGTGGCTCAGCTGCTGAGTGAGGTCCCTTTTGTTCCTGGTTTGCCCAGCACCTGGCAATATGCACAGTAGGCCCTTCTCCCGTGTCCTGGACAGACAATGTCCAGGTCTGGCCCAGACCTGCCATGGGGCTTCGGCTGACCTGCCATTGCTACTCCTGCCTGGGAAACCTCCAATTCTACCTGCTTTGCAACATGCCTTGCTTGCACCTTTATGACAACTCCAATGATGTCAGCAGCTGCAGAGACACAAGCAGCTGTGCAGAGCTGTGCACAATTCCTTCCCCACCCACCCCACACATGCACACCCACATGCTCTGGCTTCCACAAGTGCTGACTTCCAGCAGTTTTATTCCTACCGCTTTCCTTCTGACAATTCCTGTCTCTCGATGCAGACACGCTCTGCCCTTCTCCCAGCTGGCAGCATTTGGGACCGTCTGACCCAGAATCCCTCCTGCCTCTCTTACCAGTCTCCTGGGTCTCCTGGGTTTGTGGGTGGGATCCAGCATGAAGTTGATTCATGGGTGCAAGAAACCTAAGAGTGACTTATGCAGACAGCATTCATGTTGGAATACATTATGGGGTAGTCTCCCTTTAAGGGATATAATGTATTTCTCTTTTGTAAATAAGGCTCTAACTTTATTGAGCTTTTTTTTTTCTTCTTTTGCAGTGGTAAAAATAAATTGGCTGTACAGGGCAATAGCACACAGTAACTGGCATGGCATACTTCCTTGGTTGCCAGGCCCAGCTAAGCTAAAAGATCAAATGGAAAGTGTAAATGCTCTGTTTTTATCTCACATCTGGCATGTGCATCTAGGCTTGCTGGAGGTGCCCAGAAGTCTAAAGTTCTGAAAAAGATCAAATCAGCAGCAGTGATCTTAAGTGTCTGTGGCTCCCTCTGTCCCTTTTTGTTCTAAAGCAAAGGAAAATTGCAAATCCAACCAGCTGTCAGGCAAGGTAAGTGCATCCTTTATGAGCTGAGACCCAACCAGTTCAAACAATGTATTTTTCCAAGTCAATACTGTGAACAATATAAATGCACAAGAGATTTATTACAGGTAACCAACAACATGCTGCATTTTTGCCAAGCATACCATAGGCAGGCTGGTCTCACAGCTGGACAAACTCCTACTTTTCTCTACAGTGAAACATTCAAAACAGAAGGTTTGAGTTTTCTCTATTTTGAAGGGGGAAAGGCTGCATTAAGGGGAAAACGGAGTTAAGCTTACACAGGTGTTGATCGTCTCTATTAAAATCAGGCTGGCAGCACAGAAAAGAGCCTTTCTAACTACAGGCAGGATGATTAATGATGTCCCACCTGGCACAGGAAAAGCATGTGATCTGCTGCACTGAATGAGCAGGGAGAATTTGAATTTGTATGGGGACCTGTGTGTGCTGCTGCACGGGGGAGGTATTCAGGGGTGTCTTTGAAATGAGACATACCCCAAAATTTCAGAGTAGAAGAGGGACAAGGGTAGCATAAGAATACTGGAGCTCCGCTGGTCCTGGATCACCCGATTCCTCAAATTTTTCTGGAATTTTCTTACACTTTAAGAAGTTTATTAGTTTGTGTTTACAGAGCCCCCCCTGCCAAGAAGAACACCAATGATTGAAACGTCTAACAATAGGAACATCCCCAGGTTGCAGATTTTTTTTGCTAAGAATTCCTTGCAGTTGCTATCAGCTCCAGAGGTAGCTGCAGAAGGAGGGTTAATACAAGCAAATCAGACTGCACTGATGTACAAGATACTCTTAGTAGAGATGGGCAGCTCATTCTCCCTTCAGTGCAGAACGCACTCCCTGGAGACTTCATTAGCAAAGAGAACAACGATCCTCCTCCAAACTTAGAGCAGAGTTTTCTAATCTAAGACGCATTCACGATTTTGCTGAAAGACAAAGGAACCTATGGGGAATGTGAAAAATCATGGCACCAGTTCGGACAGGATGTCTTTCTATCAGAGACAGAAGTTATAAGCTTGATGAATGCATTGATCAATGCATTACTGGGGGAGATTGCAGGGCCTGTGTTATGCCAAAAGTCAAATTAACAGATCAAAATGGTCCCCTTTGGCTAGACAAATCTATTTATCGATCTTGTGTTTTCCAGAAATACAAGACACGGGCAGGCTGAACTGTAACTCCTGCACTCAGTTCTACAGTAAGTCACATTCATTGATGGTTGGTCTCCAGGTGGAAGCAGCGTCCCAGGTTGTACATGCTGACCTGTTAGGTGGGAATGCTGCATAAGGAATCGGGATGACTGCAACTGCGTTCACTTCAATACTGCCAATGTGATATCCCACACACAAATGACAGGTCACCTGCATCTCACAGGTCAGCTCTGTAACTTTTCTTAATTCCTCTCCAACAGCAACGATGAAGGTGAATAAAGCTCTTCCACTCATCTGGTTCTGGAGTCTACTGTTAGCCAAATGCCTCCCATCCACCAACTCAGCCAGGCCTACAAGTGCATAGTTTCCCAGTTCAGACAAGTTACATTCAGACCTGGCCTGGCTATAAGTCTACTTATTTAATACAGGTACTGCTGCCCCCTTCTCTGACAATGCCCAAGCATCTTCTGCTTGGCCTTTGCTCCCAGATGAGCAGTGCTGGCAATCTGTCACAGCCGCACATGTTTTGCTGGTCCCCAGTGACTGAAAACTGGGAAACAAAGACCTAAGTACCGAATTCTCCAAGTGTGGCTCACAACTTGCTGGGTGCTGCTCCTTGTCCATTAAGATCTGGGAACATCCACCTAAGGCTCGCTAGTGCAGCATCACAGGCAGGAAGAGCTGGAATGAAAACATCTTAAGTTTCATAAAGAGCCAGATCCTGCTTCTTGTCTGATGAAGGAGTAAGAGAAGGGTTTAGACCTCTGACTCCCACAGTGAACAGACTGGTGCTTCGATCCTTTAGCAGGCAACAGTGAGCACTGTGAGTAACACTACAGAAGGAAAGGAGAACAAAAGCTGGCCTGTCTCTTTACGGGCCGAGAGGGGACTGGGGCTGGCCAGCCCTGTACAAATTTCAGGTGCAGCTGGGCAATCATCAGGTATTCCCTGTGAAGGGATGGGAGGCTGCTCTGGGGAGACAGGCCTGTGCAGTAGGCCCAGTGTGGGACCTGTTTTATTTTAATGTTTTCACCTAAATTTGACATTAAGGAGCAAAAAGCTTGGACTCAGCAGCAAATCCCTCTGAGCCTGGGGGAGACAGCCAGCTGCCTTACATGCAGGGAGACACCCTTGCAAATGACTTCCCATAGGCCACAGGTAGCAGCAGTGTGGCAGGGTTACAACCCAGCACCTATACGCTCAGCAGAGTGGAGAATCCCCCAAGAAAACCAGCTGCACACACTGCCCCAAAGCACACTTCACCTGAGCATCTTTTCAGAGAGGTGACAGTCAAAATGTCCCTTAAAAACTATGGTAGACAAGGTTCTTTGTGTAAATCTGGTATCTTTTATTAGACCAACTAATAAAAGATCTTATTAAACCAACTAATAAAAGATTTTATTGGTCTAATAAAAGATAGCGGATTTACCCAAATAATCTGCCTATGTCCATAGATCAACATGGCTGCAACCAACACCCCTAAAAACCTGCTATATTTTGGGGGAAAGGAGGAGTGTAGGGGAGGACAATGTTAACCACTGAGTTAATAATAATGGCCCCAACTGTGCTTCCTACTGTTGCTGACTCCAATACTCTATATCCTGAAATGGACCTTCCAAGTGGTGACAAACCATTTTCACTATGGAATTAGTTTCAAGCATGAAGACATCACCTGAGTTGCTTGTTCCTACAGGGAAGGGGTGAGGTAGAAAAGTCAGATATTAGAGACAGTCTATAACTGTTCAGCTTAGGGAAGCAGAAGGTAAACACGATGGAGGAAGGTGCTTTTGGGAGTGTGGTAGATGGGACATATCTAAGATTTTGAGGATGGTGATATCTAGCCTGAATATCAGGGCAGACATCCTGAAGAATGATGCTGTGGAGGAGTCGCCTATGGGAACACATTGGAATTTCTATCACTTTGAAATATGACCGCAGGAATGGAGGGAGCAGCAATAAGTGCCACCCCTTCTCTGAGCGGTAACAGCCACAATAGTGTCAAGAAGTTCCAGCCATAGAGCAAGACCCTGCTGTGCTCGGAGCTGTAGAAAAAGCCATTAAAAAGAGAGGCGCTACCCCAAGGAGCTTAGTCTGAGACAAGAGACAGCTGATGCAGGCAGACAGATGTGGGAAGCGGAGGGAACAAAATGACATGGGTCAGCTGGAGAGCAGAGGGCATAGTGTACCAGCGGCCTAGCTGTTAACAACATACTAGGAGGCATCATGGTCAAGGTGGGCTGCGAAAGAGGGGAAGGAGTTTCTTTTGCTGATCTTATCAAGTAGCTCCTACTGAGCTCAAAAGGGCAAAAAACATGAAGGCCTGAACATGCAGCTAGGAGGGCTCCCACCACTGCCTGATCTTAGGTGGGGTAGAGCAGTTCACTTACAAATGAGAGGGAAACTATGAAAAGGGCATGATGCACCCAAAGCAAAAGCAGCAGCTTGTATTTGCTGAATAGAGAAAGGAGAGGTGTGAGCAGAGAGCAAAGGGAGGAGCAGGGTCAGTGACAGGTTTACAAGAGTCCTGGATAATTCAAAAGCTTTCTTCCACCTCCAACTTCTCTGGAGGTTTGTTTCCCAGGATAACGCCATTCCCGAGCATCTCTACAGCCTGAGTCTGCTGGCTCTTAACCTGCTGGTGCTGGCTGCAATATATTGATGCACTTTGATATTGGCACTCCATCCCATAGACCAGCGGTTCCCAATCTATGGTACAGGGACTGCCAGTGGCACGTAGACAACCTGTCAGTGGTACGTGTTAACAGATTTCTGATAATTACTTTATATGACAAAAATTTGCTGGTGGTACTTAAGACAACTGAAAAATTTGCTAGTGGCGCTTAAGGTTGTATTGTTTTAAATTGGTGGTGCACAATCTATCAGAGTTTGGGAACGACTGCCATAGACAACTGGCTTGGGCCTATGAACATTGCAACTCTGGTACAAGATCCACTGATGCACCACTTCATTTCACGCCAAAAGTACAGCACAAGCCACAGACTTTTTCCACCCAATTAAAGATATTGAGAGAGCAAGAGAAAGAGTGAGCATGCATGGTATGAGGGGGAGTGAGAAAGTGGACTAATTAAACAATAATATGACAGACAGTGCATTTACGGGCAATTACGGCATGCCTCTGCTGGCACTGTGAGGCATAAGGCCAAAGACTAAGTGATTTCAACTCCACAAGTAGAGCAATAATCGCCTGGAAATGCCTGTCTGGAGCATCTGGCTTGAGAATTTATACATAGCAATGAGAGAGATCTCAGCATTTACTGGGCATTATTGATAGAGGTGGAACAGAAGGAGAAGCCAGTCAGAAAGCAGTTTCTCAGGCCCTCCAACAAGAAGTTTGCCAGCATTTAGCATGAGTGCAGCTCCCAGCCAGCAGGGGCTGGAGCAAACAGCCTCTCGCTGTGGTGTGGCTCATTGGCAAATGACAAAGCCTTCCACCTTGCAAGGTGGGGATTTCCTTCAGGCTTTTAGTCTTGATGCTGCACAGGTTTCACCAAACTACCACATAAAAACACCAGTAAGTTTTAAAATTAACATCACTGAGTCAATCAGAAAATCCTTCACACCCCACCCACTGGTTCCCGAAGATAAAGCCCACCCTTAGCTTCTGAGCACCTGTAGCTTGCTCTAGTCCCCTGGATCCTCTCTAAGGGCTGCCCTGGGCTTTCTGTCTCCAGCCTGGTCTTGTTGCCTCATCCTAAATACATCCGTCAGCCCCCCAGCTTGGGGGCTAGAAGGGAAAGGAGCCTGCAAACAGTTCCAGGAAATACAGAACAAATAAACAACTGAAAAAACAGACGAGCAAACTCATTTTTAAGAGCCAATCCAGAACATTATATACATGGCACAAAGCCATGTGGTTGCAGCACTTTATCTGATGATCAGTGCTCATGAGAAGAGCTCTCTACAAGCCAAGATGGAGACAGAGCTGCCTGGGAAACAAACTTCTAGTTTGCAGCAGTTGCTTAAGGAACATTAGGCAGGTAACCCAGAGAAGACCATCACCCATGAAATAGCCCAGGTCTCCTGATACTGGCCGTTTCCCTTACCGCCCCACGTTTTGCTGCCATGAAATCTTCTAAAGCTGCATGAAATTACTCCAGACACGTGGTCTTCATTTCTAGCCTCTCAACTGTGGAGGGCAAAAAAAAAAAAAAAAAGACGACTGAAAACCTAAGTCTTCCAGGCCCCAAACTGGAAGAAAAATGAAAAGAATACAAGAATTGTGAATTTAAAAAGACACTTCCTCACTTTTAGGTCTGTCTCATGATTTTAAAAGACTAAACTCATGATATATATATTTTTTAAGTCTTGGGACTGGCACTATGGCTACTTCCAAACCAAGTCTTCACCCACTGGGCATACATTTGACAAGAGCAGACGCTTCTCAAGACTTAAAATAAATGCTGTTTTGTATCTGTGTTGGTGCTGTGGGGGCTTTCAGCAAGTGGCTGCAGTGTTATGGACCTGACTAGATTCCAGCTGGGCCTGTCTCTTTGCCATCTGCCGTTCTGTGAAGTTCTGGGAAGGCAAAGAGAAAAACAAGCTTATCGTTTATAAAGTTATTGTGGGTTTTGTGGTTGTGAGGCTTTCTGTAACATACAAGAATAACTTGTTTGTGACATCACAAGTCCGAGGATGGTAACCAGAGAGCATTATCCTCATTTTTGGGTATGCTGGTCTCATGCTCGGAGGAACAAGAGGAGGTTTGCTGTTAAGGTTTTGGTTTGCATACTCTGAGAAGTAGCATGTGGCAAAAGCAAAGCTTGGAGTCAGGGCACCAGCCTGGCGCTACCATGAAGCCAGGGCTACATCCTGGCTGCTCTGTAATAACTTAACCAGCCAGCCCTCTCATTAGAGGAATCAATCAGAGGGTGGCACGCAGTGCATTACCCCACTCACAGCACACAGTGTTTTCAAGCAATAGCAGGTGAGGACAAAGTACCTCTGCTCTCCTCTGGCAGCTGCAACAGCCTTTTGGCCAGCTCTGAGTACATGAGAGCAGCCTTCGTCCAGCTGCAGAGGCAGAGAGGTGTGCAGTTGGCCAAAAAGGTGGCTGCTTTTGCTTAGCAGAACCACGGTATCAGGCCTTCGACGTATGGACAAGTCATTTCACTTCTCTCTTTTATCCTGTGTTTTCCAAGTAAGGAGGACTGGGACCAGGGCCAATCCTCCCCCTCTGTCATGTGCTGAGTGCTACTTGCCTAACTCCAGACTTACTCCTTTAGTATTTTTAAACGTACCTTGAAATCTTCCAAGGGTGCAAAACGGCGCACACACAGCTCCCTGCATCCCTCCCTCTCTGCCTTCCCTTCCACTTGATTTTAATGCAGCGTCTCTCCAAATACAGAGAGGTATTTTTAAAACAAACCTACCAGACACTTCTGGAAACAAACCCCAACAGCCCGTGCTTGGCCTGAGTCCTGGCAGCGTGTTTCCAAGAGGGCCTGGCTGGCATTTGGTTAGCCAAAACAATGGATTTAGCACTGCGTCAGATCCCAGCTCTGCTGCAAAATGCTCAAGTACAAATCAAGGTAATCATTGTTTCTTATCGCAGAGGAAAACAAACCCTCTTGGCAGGAAACACTGTTTCAGAAAGCAACACCCTACATGACTAAGATGCAGTTTGATGGCTGTAAATGCCCCTGCTTATATAATATTGGACTCCCAGCAGACATTTGCACTGCAAACACCTAACCTGGGAGCTAGAAACACCTAACCTGGGAAATCAGCCCCCAAACCACCTTTAATTCAGCATTTAATCCAGCTTCTTGCTACTTCAAGGCAAGTTTCCGCTAGTTAGCGTAGAAATCCTCATGGGTCCAACAGTGCTGGATTTAATTCAAAACTGGCCTTTGAGCTCTTTTTCACAAATGAATCTTTATCCATAGCGAAGATGTCGATTGTAACTGAACTGCAATTCAGTTGCAACTGGATCAGGAATCACAACTTTAAATGTTACCAGCAGGAAAAAGTCTTTAAGGCTCGTCCGAAGTGATCCCCGAAGTGAATCTCATCTCCCTGAAAATCAACAGGGAAAGTCCAACGTCAGGGCGCCAGATGCTTCGTCGGGTAAGGAAGCAGCTCCATGGAGGGAGAGCTTTACAGAGCCATCCACACCAAGATTGCAACTCGCTTTGAGTCGTATTTTACACTCTGAAAATCCTGATGCAGGTTCACTTTTCCATCATGCCAGCCCTGCTACTCAAAGCAGTACCTGTGGCTGACTCCATGAAAGGCAGAAAGCAAGAGGCTTTCTTTTGGCCTCCACCGGCATCCAACGTGAGGAACGGGCGACGCGTCAAGCGAAGCGGGAGCTGGCTACCTGAGGGACCATCGGCTTCCTACCGCAGGTTGCCTCAAAGGGAAAAGGAAGCTGTCCTTGAACAATACATGCAGCCAGTTATAAATAACTCTGGAAGAGGCGCTCCTTACTGGAAGCGAGACGCTTATTCCCCCGTCGTCAAAGACCGAAGAGCAATGGACCTGTTGCGGCGTCCGAGAAAGTGGCGGGAACCGTGTGGCCGCAGCGAGTCCAAGCCTGAAGGAAGACTAAATTCTGGAAGCATGCTCTGTCGTTAAGGGTCATGATTTTTAATGTCTCCAGGTCTTTGCCCATGCATAATGGCACCACACAAAGCAGCCAAAAAAGAAAGCCAGTGGGAATTGCAGCACATGTGTTTTTGGGGGGTGGCAACGGGCTTTGCCGTGGCCCCTCGTGCTTCGCGTGGACGCGATGGCACCAGAGGCCCTCATCGCCCAGGCTGTGCTGAGGCCGGGGTCCCCGACACCCAGGGTTGTCCGCACCTCGCTGGGGGGAGGCTGCACCCCTGAGGGCCCCGCCTACAACTCCCAGCGCGCCCCGCGCAGAACGACACCCCCCAGCATGCAGTGCGGCACGGACTACCACTCCCAGCGTGCTGCGGGGCGCGCCGCTCCCGTTGGCGCCGGGAGCGGGACTCGCCGCGCATGCGCCGAATCCCTTGCGAGGAGGGCGTCCGAACTCGCCGCGCAGGCGCCGTGACGCGCTTCTGCCAGTCTGCGAACGACCCGGAAGGCGCCGCCGTCATGCCCGAGGCCCGCTCCGCGCTGCGGGAGGTGCTGCCTAAGCGAGGTACCGGCCCGGGCCCCCACCTGCTGCGCGGGCGGTTCGCGGCCCCGGCCGCCTCGTTAATTCAGTCAGATATTAAATTAGCTGGCTCATAGAATTATGATAACTAGATTCGGCGTAATTACATTAAACCTCACGGAGCGCACGTGCCTTCAGGGCCGCAGCGCCTCTGATTTGCTCTGCTCCAGCTGTTATCCCGGCCCCCTGCGCAAGGGGCCTTTCCCCTGCTCCAACCCCCTTCTAAGAGGCAGGGTTTTGAGCACAGCCTGTTCCCAGCGTCACAGGAGGTTGCCAATGACACGAGTTCCCCAACACCGTCTGTTGGGCGGGTCCCGACCTACGCTGCCTATGGCCACCCCGCACCTAAACCTCACTTCTCTTTTGCCTGCAGGCCAGTTGTCGGTCGAGGACGTGGCAACCCTGGTGCTCTGCAAGCCCAAACTGCTGCCGCTGAAGTCTGTGACACTGGAGAAGCTGGAGAAAATGCAGCGGGCGGCGCAGGAAACCGTTCGCCAGCAGGAGATGGCCCAAAGAGAGGAGCCGCAGCAGTAAGGGGTGGGGGGGCACGTCCTCTCTTCTCTCCTATGGTAACGGGCACCGCGAGAAGCAGCGTTGTAGCTCCTGTGCTGCGGCCTCTGCCCGCTCGTATAGTGATCACTGGCCAGCGTTAAAAAGATTAGGGATAATCAGAGTTTGCATCTTCTTACCGTAGGTGTGGATTTTGAAAGTGTGGCTGGACCCAGTGTGCTTGGTTCTCATTTGAGTTTTGGGTTGTTTTTTTTGACATAGCTCTATCTGCCTAGTAGGGTTATTTTTCACTCTCCTTTTTAAGTAAAAAATGCTTTATTAAAGTTAATCCTGGCTTTAGAAGAGAGAGAGAGAGAGACACAGTGTCTTATTTCTGCAACTCACTGCTCGAGGCTGCAGTTTTGCAGCTAGTCACTCTGATGTGTTGAAGTACAGGTACTCCTCCCTTAAAGTCATCTCGTTATTACTTCGCTGATCTACTGGAAAACACGCTCGTTTAAAGCCACGCAATGTTCAGTTATAATGTTGTCTGGCTAGTAGACAACTGCTGCAACGCAATTAGATTCGCTTAACATCGGTTCGCTTAAAGTTGCATTTTTCAAGAACATAACTACGACTTTAAGCAAGGAGTATCTGTCTTACACGCTCCGTCTCCGGCTAAAAGCCTTTCCCACTAAAAGGGAAGAGAACAGGTTCACAGCTACAACAGTCTTTAAGATGAGCAAAAAGAGGGAAAGGAGTGTGGAGCCAGGTTTAAAAGTGAATCCAGAAGGGAGAAAATGAGCAGAGAATCAACCGTCTGGGTGTAATTGGTGGATGCAACCCAAAACAGTTGTCTGGAGCTGTGAGGCAAACTGAGACTTGGACCAGACAGATGGCATCCCTTGGTAGATTTCCTCCAGCCAGCGGCAAACATTGGAACCTTTTAGGGGTGGTGGCTCAAAATAACAGCGTAGTTGAAAGACCAGCACTGACAGCTGCAGCTGTGTCAGCTTCACAGGCTGAAATTTGGGTGGCCAGGCTAGGCTGCTGCCTCTTGGCATACATCACATTTTTTGACCACTGTCAGATCACCAGGAGACCTCATAGAAGTGAATCCATGCACCTCCCACGTGCTTCTGACCTGTCTAACTAGTGCTTCTCTAGCAGATGCAGACAACTCAGACTCTTTATTTACTGAACTATTATTAGTAGCCATTGCCAACTCTACAGGTAGAGTTAAAATGAATATTATCCCAGTATCCAATTTTCAGCATTGTAAGTTTCAGCTAAATAGACATTCTGGAGGGCAAAAGATACTAGCGGACAACCTTAACAGTGTTAAGGATCTGAAGCTATTAATCTATATATGCCTACTCACCCAATTCACTCCCACATTTCTTCTGTGAAGAAACGGTTAGACGAATGATTCAGGAGCCATGGAAAATGTCTGCTCTCTCAAAAATAGGTTTATAAAGATAAATGAGACTTGTGTGTGGTGCATTTCATGATTGAAGATTTCTCTGATTTGAAAGTCCTCAACATTCATTAAAGACAAGTGGTCATCAGAATCTCAAATCAGCTTGGGTACATGTGGAGGTTGAGGTTGCATGGGCAGTTCTCTGCTTTCCACAATGGCAGAATGCAATACGCAGCTGTAATGCCCTTCTAGAGAGATCTGAATTTCTGCTTCATCTCAGTGAATCCATATGTGCATGTCTACGTCCAAGGCAAAGCTTGAAATCTGAATTCTAGAGCAGTGTTAATAAGTCAGGCAAGAACGCTAGCCTTAAAACAGCGACTAAATACAACTTTCCATGGTTTACATGCATCAAAAGCAAGGCAACTCATATAAGTTTAACGTAATAAATGGAAACGTTCTATTTTTTTTGTAAAATGCAACAGGACAGCTGTGGGTTAGATGTAATGAAGAACAAATGCTACTGGAGAAACTGCAGTCATCTTTACAGAAGTCTTTGGTAAAAAAAAGAACCTGCTAGTTTAGTTGCTCATTCATCTGCAGATAATGAACTTTCCGGAATTGACGATTAAAAACAGCAGAAAAATAGCTTAACCAAGTGTGTTTTTTAATACATTCTACCAGAACTGTTCATTTTTCCAGTTATATAGAAAAAATAGATGTTCCAGCCACTATTTACTAGACTGGTCATTAAGACCAATCAGTATATTCCCCTGGAAAAGACAAATGCATCTGATGACCAAGCCCCGCCATCCTTTTTTTTTTTTAAATTCTTTAAAACAAATAAACCACATTTTCCTCCCAAAGCACAGTATTTCAACAGCAGCAGCCAAAGGTGGGTCACAGGAGCTCCACTTAACCCCTTCTATAAAGCTTCATATAAACCAGTGATTTTACTACAACAAAAAGAAAAAGAAAAACCTGTTCTTGAAGGAAAAGAAGTGGCAGTCAAAGGACAATGCAGAACATGGAATGATTAGGTCAGAAACATATGGCACTTACAAAATGGTAGCTTATTTGAAGGCACCACCACAGATGTGGTTACTTGTTCTATTATATGCCCATAGAAAGGAATCTGATTCCTGAAGATAAATTTATAAAGCTATTTTAAATGATTTTTACCCCAAACAAGTACTTTTAAAAATATGAACTGTGCTAAGCAACTCTTTATGATTCAGTTGTAGAATATATATATTTTTTCCCTTTAAACGTCTAAGGCTGTGGGAGTCCATTCTTATATTCAGTAGCTCTCTAGTTTGAAACGACCTCCATCACCTTCACTTACAAAACGCTTTCTTCCCCTGGGAAAACAAAAACAAAAACCACCATGTAAAGACATTATTAGTTTAAATGAGTTGCTCTTGGCTGTCCTTGTCCACCAGAGCTGAGGAGCCCTCACTTGAATCACTACCTCCTCTGGGCACAGGAGCAAGATCACTTAACTGATCACCAGCTCCCTCTAACTGTCATATAGTTGACTGAGAGGCCACGTCATCCAACCAAGCTCACTAAACAGAACACTTGACTTGCAAATTTAGGCTTTTCAAAATTTGCCTTGTACGCTTTTATCTTACTTCCTCCTCCTATAAACTTTCATGGGAACATTAGTACTTGTGAAAGATGCTGGCTCGATATTTAGGAGACTGAAGTTCTTCGTATATTCAAAAAGCAGGCATGGAACACACAGTGACAGAGCCTTTCAGAATATTTACTGAATTTTATTTTTATATTACGCGAGTTATTACATTCCTTTTTTCCTAAAGTACAATCAATTTAACTCCTCAAAGACACCCTGAAAGGCAATTTAAAGTGCCAAGCTTGTGGCTGGTGGCTGTCTGGGAAGAGGATAAACAAGTTTTACATGCTGGATTTCTTGTCATCAAAAAGAAAAGCTTCTGTATTAAAAGCCACATTGACGCAGCTCAAGTTGAAGACAGTTGATAAAAACCCCCCCAAAAAACAGTCTAGATCCATACAGCACTTAAAATAGGCACTATGGGCATCTATAAATATACTACAAGGTGGGTGGAGGAGGCACGCTTTAATTAAAGTGGTGCTGAGCCGCTCTATTTAAAAGCGCCTGCAGCATCACGTATACTCAGCGTCCTGTGCTTCAAAATGGCAGCAGGTGTGCTTTAACTAAAGCTCATTCAATGCAAGTTAAAGCGTCCCTGCTGCCACTCTGAAGTGTAGGGACACCAGATCCACATGACATGGAGGCTGCTGGAGTCTGCCAATATAGCGTGCGATTAATCGAGTCTGCTCCGGCACACGTTGGAGCAAAGGTCCATCACATGTATAGGTGCCGTATAATCTGAAAGAGCAGAAACCCAAAAAACAAACCTTGGCTTTCTGAAAAAAGGACAGAAAGTATGTTTAAAGCTGTATGCTCTATAGGGTGCAATGAAAAAAGAAGAATGTGGCCACACAATAAACAGAAAAAAAAAAATGCTAAACCGCCATCTAAGCAAGCATCATCTATCTATGCTTTGCACTCAATGCAGAAATAAGGTCACGGGGTTGTAGATTATGTCACACTGCATACATCTACAAGGAGGAAAAGCTGATGTTGGATAAAAATTCTTATTTCTGACATTTTCTTGACCTTTGATTGCTTTATTTAGCATCCTTGATAATGCTATCACAGCCACATCACTACTCCAACACTATAAGCGTGCTCCCCACTCCTAAAATTACATTCCTTTTTCCCTAAAGTATAATCAATTTAACTCCTCAAAGACACCCCCAGAGGCAATTTAAAGTGCCACAGGTTGTTGGCACGACTGGAACCTCTGTCACCTCTGTTAGTGGCGTAACTCAGTGGAGTAGTCAGTGCTGGACCAGCACTGCAGGGCAATGGACACAACAGGCAGGTTTCACCCTGTAAACAGCAGGCCGAGAGCAAGACTAGCATTTTGGATACCACTCTAGGTTCTGAGAGTGGGCACAGCCTCTCTTATCTCTGTTTGGCTGCCAAAGCTTGAGCCTCTTTCTGCCCTGTCCTTTTCAAACCTCTCCCAAGCAAGTCTTTTCTTTCTCACCCATGGCTCTTTATCCTAGTCCTATCCTCCCTACCTAGTCATGCCTAACCTTCTCATCCCCGGCTTCTCATCCCAATTCTTCCCCCTAATTCTTCAGCCATCGTGTCTCCCCCTGACCTCCTATCTCCACTTTTCCAGAGCTGAAATTCCCTGTCCCCATTAGCTTCAAATCTAAAATGTTATAAACCTATGTTTGGTTACTTAGTGAGAAGTGTTGGGCAGTCTTAATAATGACAAGCACTATCACCATTCAGCTAGAATTATAAAGTACGTACCTAGAAGGACAGAGATCTCTGAGGGGTTTAGAAATGATACCAGCCTGGAAGCATTCTTCTACAAACCGCTCAAGCACCGAATAAGAGTGTGGCACATCCAGGTTAATATCTGGTATTTCACGATAAATCCGTTCATAACCCTGCAATGTCAGATTTAGAATACTGATTTCAATGTTTTGCTACACAAACTTCCCTATTATATTGTCAGAGCAAAATAATCCAAGCAATAATTCCAAGAAATAAAGTTTTTAATAAGCCAGCTCAGTGGAAGGCTAGCACCATACCAGGACAGCAGGCATATTATACCTACGAAATAGAAGAGCTACCAAATTTTAAGGCTCCTAAATGATGGGGCCAAAAAGTGGCCACAGTAAAGGACACATACAGTGCAGTCTTGTAGGTGGTGGCATGGAAAGCAAGACAATAGCTGTGGACTTGCACTACTCCTCCCGTACAAGTCAGAAGAATTTGGGCTTCTCTTCCTCAATACAGGCACTAAGCTGATGAAATGCAAGAGGGAAAAAAGCCTGCTAACAGGTACATATGTACTTCTCTTCTTAAGAAGGCTGGGGAAACTAACAGGTGGGTCCCTGTCTGCTCTGATAACATGCTTGCATTACTTGTTTGAGGCTTGTGACAAAACCACAAATAACTGATTTGACTAAATACATTATTTTTAAAGTCCACTGGAATTAACTCAATTTTGGCTGCCTCACTTATGAACATTATATTGCAACTTTAGGAGGAGTGAATATTTAATGCTTTCATTACATAATTCGGTAGGTAGGCAAATCCCATTTTCTTGGCAGAACATGTTTAAGTATTCTAAACTTTGCAGGTCAACAAGGAATCACTGCCCAGAAACAAAGTTAAATCAGTGGATCACCACCCATAGTTGAGGAAGATTTAAAATAAAACTGTCCTTTGAACAACCTGTAAATGTTTTTTTGATTTTCCATTTCATGTATACTTCTGAAAGACATACTTACTCTTCTCATTTGGTCCAGAGTAATAACAGAAGATGTCCACAGGGATTTCAGCAAATCCAGCATCATTTTAAAGGTCTTTTCCCCAGTTGACTCCAAAACCATTACAACTGTCTAAAATAAATCAAGTATTTAACCAATGCTGAACATACATCTTGTAAACACGACAAATGAGAAATACTATGAACAAAGAACTATGCAGCTTCCACGGCAATACATCCATCTGTCAAAAGTACTTTGTGACTTATCAATGAAAGGTACAATGGAAAGAGTCTTTGGATAAGGATACAAGGCATGAAAACCTACCATCGGTATTTGTTATAGGCCACCAAAATGGAAGAAGAAATAACAAGTTTCTGTACTATTTCTAGAGGTGCTGTAAACCACATAACCCCAAATTCATGCATCAGAGTAGCATTACAGATGGCTGTTTTCTGAAATGACGCATGCGCTAGACGCCTGTATGAAGAATTAAAATCTACTAGTAGATGGAGGGTGCAACAAGACCAAAACTGAGGAACTGTTTAGACCGTTCCTTGAACAAGTTTATAAAAAGAAAATTTAGCGTGAATGATCAGTAGACATTATTATGATCTCTCAAAATTGGAGGAAGCAGCAGGGAAGCATTTAAAACTATACCACATAAACTAGGAACTAGACTAGAAAACAATTCTCCACTGACAAGGGATTGTTTATATCATCTAAGAGAAATGGTAGACACCAATTAGAATAACAATCCATTTGTCTGAAGTCTGGTGCAATAGCTCACGGCTCTGACACCAAGGATGTCTTGATTTAGCTGAACTGAAGTATTTTCTTGCTATTCTCCCGTAGCAAGAAAGCCACATGCAACAATATACAACTATCCAATAACTGACCCATTCTTAAGGCGAATCACTTAAAAATTCCTGAATACACAAACCCAAGTCAAAAAGCACAAATTTTACTTGCAGAAATTTAGATACTCTAACAACATCAGAACTTAGGAAACGAACAACAAATTCTACTTATGCTATCTGCATGCCTGTATCAAAAAAAGCCAGCCCGCCTTCATTATGCATAATCAAAAGGATTCTGATTTCTGTCTTACTTCGTACACAAGTTCATGGTGAAAGTGGGGTACTTCTAGTTCTTGAAGGCAACGTTCAGCTTCAGATACGTCTCCAGAAAGCAAATATTCCTTCAGCAACATATCAATCTATTGAAATAAATAAATAAATGCCTGCAACTATGAGGTATAATTTAACAAGTTGATAATTCATTAGTCTATTGCACTGTCTGGCAAAAAAGTTACTCTTTCAAACTGCAACTATTATTTTCATAAAAAATAATCTTAAGTAGTGAGGACATGATAGCATGTTGATGCTGTTTATGCTAATCATGCATATACAAATGTGAAATGC